TTGTACTTTGTTTATGTACACCCTGAATGGTTGGTATCTGTTTTCCATAGTGCCTTACTATATTTTGTCTACCATGTAGAGGTTGTATATGATTTGCATCTGATACTGGAGGCATGTTAATCTGGGTATCCCATTGCTGTAAAAGATCACAACCACAGAGATTAATTGCTATGTCTTCTACATATGGCTTTAACCTTCCTCTCTGTCCTTCCAGTCCAATGCAGACAACCCACCTAGCACTCTGGCATACTCTAGATAGAGTTCCAATCCCTAAAAATTGAACATTCACATCTTTTAGAGGCCAAGTCTGAGGTCAGGACTTTTGTGTTATAATAATCATGTCCCCCACAGTGTCCACCAGACTGGTAATAACTTATTTATTCTTACTTTCAACTGAGGCCTCTGATCCTTTATAGAAGTTTGCCAAAATATGTGGGTTTTTTTGTCTTCTTCAGTCATGTTTGATTCCTCCTCACTAGCCAAACTACCACCTAGAGTGGTACCATTCTTTACAATAGGCAATGTTTCCTCCACAGTGACTGGGAATGATCAGACCTTTCTCAATGTGGGGGCCCCTCAAGGAATTTCCGAATTGTAACAGGTTTCCTTGTGTGTCTGTGGTTGATCTACATTCATTGGTCCAGTGTCTGCCCTTACCACATTTCCTACATAATCCAGAAGATGGAGGCCTTCTATATGAGACACTTTTGGAATTGCTTTGCCTACAATTTCTCCTAATATGTCCTATTCTGCCACAGTTGAAACATCTAGGATCCTGATGCCTTCTTGACCCTCTGGGGATTTTCATCTTACCAAAGTTCTTGTTTCATTACAGTGAGAGCATCTGGCCTCTTGGTGTCTTTTTAGACCTTTGGAATTTGCTTCTCCTTCCCAAGCCTCTGTATCATCACCTTTAGAACATTTAGCCTCTTGGTGTCTTTTTAAACCTTTTGAGATTGCCTCTCCTACCCAAGCTTCTGTATCTTAAACAGTATAGTTGAGACTAGCTGTATGCAAGGCCCATTCTAAGTATTCTTTTACATATTGGATTTGCATTTCCATAAGCTAGAGAGATCTGCTACCTGTAACTCTACTGCCCTGGATAGTCTTTGTAAAATAGTCAGTGAACTGCTCTGTCAGTCCCTGTGTTATCTTCGTATAGGTTTCCACTCTTTCTCCTGATTGACGAACCTTGTCCCAGGCATTTAAGGCTGCTGTCCTGCATAAGGACCATATGTGCTCATCATATCCAGCCTGAACCTGTGGTTCAGCATAAAGTCCCTCACCAAGAATCTTATCTTGCGGATCTTCATAACCTTTCTTTATGCCTTGAAGCTCGAGGGCTTTTGCTCCCTCCCTCCATAGATACTTCCACTGTATTTGAGACAAATTGTCAAGCATAGCTGATATTAGGCTTTTCCAATCTATGGGTGTTACCCTATTAAAAGTAGCCCACAAATTTAATAATTCTTTGACATAAGGGCTACAGAGACCATATGAGACAATAGACTCCTTGATTCCTTTGAGGTCTTTTAGTTGTATTGGTTCCCATTGATATGCCATATGACCCTTTGGGTATTTTTGGATGGTGGTTTTTCTGTCATAGTCACTGGGAAGACCAGTGGTGTGTGCATAATAACATTAGGAAGGTTTTCCTGATGTTTGATTGGAATAGGTGCATTGGATTGGGAGGAACTGGATTCTGTGTCTTCCAAGGCTTGAAGCCTGGCTACCACAGTCTCATGAAGAGAGTGCATTTCATGATTCATATAAGATTCTAAGTATTTTATAGAATCATTAAGTCTCCTTGTTTCTTCATTTACATGTGCTTCTAAACCTTTAATATTCTTATCCTTAGATAGTATCTGAATGGCATGTAAATTGACTTCTAAATATCTATCCTAGACTCCAGATTTTGCACTGTGGCAGTAAATTCATCAGACAGGGAACAAATTGCCTGTGCCATTTCACTAATTCTATCCTAGTTTTTAGCTATTTTTGCATTTAAACCATCAGACATGGAACAAATTTTTTCTATTTGGCCATGAGTTTGTTCTACCTGTGTTAGTAATGTAGTATGGACAGATATAGTATCTTCAACTTCAACTTATTTATGTAAACGTTCCATGTCTTCCATTTTAGAAATCAAATTTTCCTGACTGGCTTTTATATCTTGCATCCAATTTGCTATGCTGTCTTTTTCGCTGTGTCTCAGTACTCTGGTTAGAGATATCACTTGAAAAATAAAGCTGACTGCTAACATAGTATAAAGGTACGTTACTGGCAAGCTTCCTCTCACATTGATTTCACATAAGAAGCAATAATATTTCCAATTGTCTGCATTGTCAGATTTTTTGCTGTACTGCAAGTTTTACCTGTACAGTTCCCTTCCAGCTGCAGTATCTGTATTTGACCAGAAGGTGGCACAGGTGGCCTATTGTGTTCAGCAGCCTATGGGTGAAGTCTATCTCAAGACTATCTGAAAGATATCTGAATGCCTTTCGAGTTAGAACAGACAGAAGGGATCGGCTGTTGAAAAAAAAAAAAAAAAAGCTTTGGAAAACCTGCAGGGCCATAGCCGGCTGCAGCACCAAGCAGTATCTGGTGCTATGCAGCAGTGTAATGGGCAGTGCCTATGGTGGTGGCAAAGACTAAAACAGAAGGGGAAGAGCCTCGGGTTGGGAAACCCAAGGAAGGCACTGGGTGGAAACCACGCTTCAGCTAGGAGACACATCTCGGAGGAATGAAGGCCCCAGGCAATGGTCCAAAGTAGCAGCAGATTTCTTGGTCTGAGCATTGGCAGAGGTAAGAACTCTAGTACCTGGCTGTTCTGCTTCTGTGATCCTTCAGCTTTCATCCCCTGATAGCTGACTCCAAGTGTTTATTAAAGATACGGCAGATTCCACATGTTGTGTCATGACACATGTGGCAGGGAGCAGATGCTAAACTATACTTCTATGATATTTACTGTGTGGGCATCAATGGGGCTGGATTTGCCCAAACCACAAGGGGACATGTGAGTTTGCAGAACCATAGCAAGAGATTCCCTCCATTTGTGGACACAGCTCTAGACCATGGGGCATCTCTGTTTGGAAGAAATATCGATAGTTGTAGGGTCAGAAGCAGAATAGTTTAAGCATCCTTTTGAGTTAATTTTTGTGGGAGTTGTGAAGTCTTTTTATGTAATTTCTGAACATATAGAATCATGTGTAGCTGGGTAACATTGAACAAGATCACAGTTTACCTGGCTGAGTTTCCTTTCAGGTTTTTTAAATATTGAATATATTTTCTGGTTTTGTTCTTGGCTTTTTTTCTCCATCCTCTTTATTCTTTCCCAAATATTGTACACCTTCTCGATTGCTGTAGATTTGTTAAAAGTATAGAAGTCACACTGTGTCAATTTGTGTATTATGTTTTTATAATCAACTTGAGAATCGATCTATTCCCAATTTGCATATAGCTTTGGAATCAGATAACCTGTTATAAGGTGGTGGAAATTTTCTTTGGATTGTATTAAATTCAGGTTGCTAATTTACCTTCTATAGTATCTTAATGTTGATGCATCAAGTTCCCAATGATTATTTACTTCTTTACTTATGTAGGCTCTTTTATTCTTATTGTTTTTAATTTGCAAAAGACTTTTAGTGTTTCACCTAAAAAGTACTATGGGGCTTGGGAGGTTGCTCAGCACATATTCTTCTAGGAAATGACCTGAGTTCAGATGCCAACACCCAAATTTGGAGGCTCATAACTACCTTCTACTCCAGATTCAGGGTATTCAACAACCATCTTCTCTAGTATGTCACATGTACACACATGGAAAACCTCTCTCACATACAAACTGTATAAACAAAAAATTGGGATAAACTTGTTTTCAAAACTCTTGTTACTTATAGAGGAAATGAGACAAAAACCAGTCACTTTGGGTACATAATGCAGATCATACACTGTTTCTTTTTAAATATATTTTAAAAATTTAGTTTTCATTTTACATACCAACCTCAGTTCCCTTCCTTCCCCATCTCCTACCCCCTACCTCTCTCTCTTCCCATCCCACAGTCATTCCTCAGAGGGGGTAAGGCCTTCTTTTGGGAGTCCACAATGTCTGACATACCAAATTGAGGAAGGACCAATCTACTCCTTCCTGTATCAAGACAGAGGAAGGTATCCCCCATAGGGAATGGGCTCCAAAAATCTAGTTCATGCACCTGAGATGGGTCCTGGTTTCACTGCCAGGGACCCCCTAACAGATCAAGTGACATAACTGTCACCCACATTCAGAGATTCTTGTTTGGTGCCATGAAGTTTCCCCATCTATCAGTCCATAGTCTGTGAGCTGCCACTAGTGACAGTAGTAGGAAGTATGGCGTTGTTGGAGTGGACATTTCTTTGTTAGAAGTATGTCACTGTGGGGTCATGCATTGAGGTTTCTTATACTCGGTATGCTGCTCAGTGTATCAGTCAACTTCCTGTTGCCTCTGAATCATGATGTAGGACTCTAACCTTCACCACATCTGCCAGTATGCTGCCATGCCCCCTACAATGATGATGATTAACCAAACCTCTAAAATTTTAAGTGAACACCTCAAATATTTTCTTTGTAAGAGGTACCATAGTCATGGTGTCTCATCACAGCAACAAAAACCTAACAAAGACACATTGGTACCAGGGACTGGGGTATTGCTGTGATAGGCTGGCCCTATCATAAAATTTCTATGATGTGTTCTCAGTAGTGTTGATCTGCTAGCTTGCCTCTCCATCTATGTCTATTCCCTGGGATTTCTTCCTCAAGGATATATGCTACTTAAAGGGCCAAGAGATGGGTCATGTGAACCTCCTATTCATTTTCCTTCTTATGTGACTAGGGGAATATATTATAATTTCCTTGTCATGAAATTATTTTGGGAAGCACCAGAATTATGTGACTACATTTTCAAAGAAGCATAATACACCATGTGTGTATCACACTTTATGTTTTTCACATGTATGTATTATTTTAGAATGCAGTGACCTATGATGATGTGCATATCAACTTCACTCAGAAAGAGTGGGCTTTGCTGGATTTTTCTCAGAAAAGTCTCTACAAAGATGTGATGCTGGAGACCTACAGGAACCTCATTGCCATAGGTAAGACTGAATTTTCCTTCATGTTTTAAAATAAGTGGACAACTGTTTCTTGGTTATTGATACTCTTCTCTAATTTCAATTGAGAACAGGGGAATTTAGGTGAATAAGGCATTGTTCTAATGTTCATTGAAGATATTAACTTAAGTTTTGTACAGTTTCAAGTTATATATAATATATTTTCTGGTATTGTATTTTAGGTTACAGTTGGGAAGACCATAATATTGAAGAACATTGTCAAAGTTCTAGAAGATATAGAAGGTAATTTTCCTGTGCAAGTTTATACAGATTTGCCTCTGAAGAAATTTTAGTGTGTCATGGAAGTTTTAAAGAAAAGCAACAGTGTAAATGAGCACAGATTAAAGTATATTGATGATTCTTAATTTCTCACAAAATCATGTACCTCAGTGTCAGGTAGCTATTCTGTGCTTGCAAGGCATTCATGTGAAAAAGAAGACAATGCCTTAACAGATACTACCATTTGAATTATAGCCCCATTAGAGCTATGCTGTAGAAATGCCAAGTTGTTTAGTTTCACACCACTCAGATATTTTAAACAGTATACACATTGAGTAGGTGATACATATATGTCCAAGACTTTCTAAGATAAAAATGTCTATAGTAAAGCTGGCATTACTCACATACTTGTGACTTAGCTAAGTATATTAAATGGGTCAATTTATGAAATTCAAGATTGTTATTGTGGAGAAACACTAATCCCTATACCTAATGTCTGGGAGGAAAAGAAAGTCAAGCTGTGTGAATGCAATGTGGAAACTTTTGTTATTATTTCTTTAATGAGAATATCATGTGTAGCTGGATTGTGGTAGTGAACGCCTTTAATCCCAGCAGAGGCAGTTGGATCTCTGTGAGTTGGAGGTCATTCTGTTCTTCAGAGTATGTTCCAGGACAAGATCCAAAGCAACACAGAGGAAACTGCATCAAAAAAAAAAAAAAAACAAGAAAAAACGAATATTACATGTAACTACAAATATAAGCCATGTGAGCATATAATATGGAAAGAAGCAATCTCTCTCTCTCTCTCTCTCTCTCTCTCTCTCTCTCTCTCTCTCACTCTCTGAACAGTTGTAAGATATGAAAGTTCTTTGTAGTCCTCACTTCGAGCAGATTTGTTGACTATGATACAAGTTTACAATTAGTCGGCTTTCCAACATCATTTGAAAGACATAAACAAAGTCACATTGCAGAAAAGCCCTATGAATATTAGAATACTTCCATTTTTTTCTGGTACATTCTGCCAATGTAGTATGACTGACACTATAGGAAAACTTATGAATGCAATAAGTATGGCAAAGCTCTTAATTCCCCCAGTTCTTTTCAAATATGTGAAAAATCTTACATCAAATGATGCAATAAATGTGGGCCATGAGACAAAGGGTTTTACTGTCACAGGTATCTTCAAAGCCACAAAACAATCCCTCATGAAATGAAGCATCATGAATGTAAAACTTAAGGTCTGATTCCTCTTTATACTTAGTCCATATTATGAAATTAATTTGTAGACATATAAGTTTCTTCAGTATAATGCATGTGGTAAAGCTTTCACATGTGCCAATTATCTTTCCAGGAATGGAAGAAGCCATACAGGTAAAAAAAAACCCTCTGAATATACTCAATGTGTGAAAACCTTTTGTGTTACAGGCATCTTCAAAGGCATGAAACAATTCATACTGGAGAGAAACCTTATGAAAGTATTCAATATGGTGAAGTATTTGCATGTCACAGTTGTCTCCGACTCCATAAAAGAACACATACTGGAGACAAACCCTATGAATGTAATCAATGTCATAAATCTTTTTCACAACGCAGCAGTCTCATAAGTCATAAAAATACACATACTGGAGAGAAACCCTATGTATGTAATCAATGTGGTAAAGCCTTTGCAAATCTCAATAATCTTCGGAAACATAAAAGAACACATACTGGAGAGAAACACTATGAATGTAATGAATGTGGTAAATCTTTTATAACTCACCGTCAGCTTCAAGTACATAAAAGAACACATACTGGAGAGAAACCTTATGTATGTAATCTATGTGGTAAAGCCTTTTCACAAGTCAGTAGTCTCAACTCACATAAAAGAACACATTCTGGAGAAAAACCCTATATATGTAATCAATGTGGTAAAGCCTTTTCACAAGCCAGTAATCTCCACACACATAAAAGAATGCATACTGGAGAGAAACCTCATGAATGTAATGAATGTGGTAAAGCTTTTGCATTTCTAGGTCACCTTAAAGCACATAAAAGCACACATACTGGAGAGAGACCTTATGAATGCAATCAGTGTGGTAAAGCCTTTTCAAAACAAAGCAGTCTCATAACACATAAAAGAATACATACTGGAGAGAAACCCTATGAATGTAATCAATGTGGTAAAGCCTTTTCAAAACACTGCGGTCTCATAAATCATAAAAGAACACATACTGGAGAGAAACCCTATGAATGTAATCAATGTGGTAAAGCCTTTTCAAAACACTGCGGTCTCATAAATCATAAAAGAACACATACTGGAGAGAAACCCTATGTATGTAATCAATGTTGGAAAGCCTTTGCAAATATCAGTAATCTCCACAAACATAAAAGAACACATACTGGAGAGAAACCCTATGAATGTAATCAATGTAATAAAGCTTTTTCACAACACAGCAGTCTCATAACTCATAAAAGTACACATACTGGAGAGAAACCCTATGTATGTATTCAATGTGGTAAAGCCTTTGCAAATGTTAATAATCTCCAAAAACATAAAAGAACACATACCGGAGAGAAACACTATGAATGTAATGAATGTGGTAAAGCCTTTGCAACTCATAGTCATCTTCAAGTACATAAAAGAATACATACTGGAGAGAAACCCTATGTATGTAATGATTGTGGTAAAGCTTTTTCACAAGTCAGTCATCTCTACACACATAAAAGAAGACATAGTAGAGAAACTCTATGAATGTAATCAATGTGGTAATGCCTTTTTACTAGTCAGTAATCTCTACACACATAAAAGAACATACTGGAGAAAAACCCTATGAATGTAATCAATGTAGTAAAGCTTTTGCGACTTACGATCACCATAAATAACATAAACGAACACATACTGGAGAGAGACCCTATATATGTATTCAATGTGAAAAGGCCTTTTCACAAGTCAGTAAACTCCAAAAACATAAAAGAACACATACTGGAGAGAGAGACCCTGTGAATGTAATCAATGTGGTAAAGCCTTTGTATGTGTCATCAGGATTTAAAATCATGAAAAAAAAACATACTAAAGAGAAATCCTATAAATGTAAGCAGTATGGTAAAGTTGTATACTTTGCATATCACAATAATCTTTGAGGAGCTGAAAAAGTTCATACTGAAGAGAATCTAACTATATAGGATTTTGTACAATCTTCAACACACATTTAGTTACACACAATTCTGGAGAAAAAATCTGACAAATGTCAACAGTCTGTTCAAGCCTTATGATGCCTCTATTTTGTTTGTACCTGCAAACTCATAAGGACAGAAGTCCTAGGAATTCATCAATAAGGTAGCCCTTTTTTGATTTCTCACTTTTCTTTAATTACATAAAAACCTCATTAAGGTTGGTTTCTCAAAATTCAATCCTATGTGCTTGCTTTCTGTTACATGAACCAAGTTATGATGACCGGAAAATAGTCAAGAGTTTGCATGACTCAACACCTGGGTTACAGGAATGAATGTTTACATCAGAAAATACTCGTGTGGAAATCTGTTTGGGTAAAGATTGATTTAATTTTAATTATGTGATATCAGTGTAGGTTTGTGAATGTTCATCCTTGTTCCCAAGATTAGACCCTTGTGTATTCCTGTAAGAGGAACTACAGAAAGTTCTCAAAAACCTGACCTAGGTCCTGGCATTGAACTTGTCATAACTTTCCTCATCTATTTCTGTAAGCCTGTACACATTTTAAATCTTTTTTGGATCATCTTGATATCAGGTATTGGGGAAGAACTCTTGGAAGACAAAGACCTATTCATGCAAAAAAAATTTTTTTTGTAACAACTTGTCTTTAGTTTAAAAAAAGACTGTTTCATGTCTTTTTCATCCTACAGAAAGTTAATTATTTACAATGCTCATTCAAGACTGATTGTGGAGATTACTGCATTGTGGTTTCTATGTTACAACATTCGAATTAGGTATTAAATGTGCTATATGTTTGGCAAATCCATTTTATGAAGTTTATTTTGTGGTCTTTATATTCCTTCTGAGGCTTTTGTAAATATTCTATTGTGCTCTCACTTAGTGATAGATATTTTTTCTGTCAAAATATATAGAGTGAGATTCCCAACTATCTAAATTGTTTGTTGTTTATTCAAATGTCAGGCAGTGTGTGATCATGCTTTTAAAATAAGTGTGTCTGTGAAAGGGTGGTGGGTTGTTGTTCCTGGTTTTGTTTCTCATATTTTCACAAATTTTCTTCAGATGTTTGTTATCCATGCCAATAATTAGTTAGGGATGCATTTGAACTCATATTCCTCCTGTGTCAGTCTCTTGAGTGTAAGTCCTAGGCTAGATGATATACCCCAACATTTGCTGTTTTGTCAAACATTTTTTTTGTTTTTGTTTTGTTTTCCGAGGCAGGGTTTCTCTGTATAGCTTTGCAGCCTATCCTGGCACTCACCCTGGAGATCAGGCTGGCCTCAAACTCACAGAGATCTGCCTGCCTCTGCCTCCCAAGTGTTGGGATTAAAGACGTGCACCACCAATGCCCGGCTGTCAAAACACTTTAACAAAGTTAATTGATAAGCTGGGCCTTGGTGGTGAAAGCCTTTAATCCCAGCACTTGGGAGGCAGAGGTTGGTGCATCTCTGAGTTTGAGGCAAGCCTGATCTACAGAGTGAGTTCCAGGACAGGCTCCAAAAACAATACAGAGAAACCCTATCTCAAAAAACAAACAAACAAATAAATAAATAAATAAATAAATAAAAAGTTAGTTGTTGCTGAAGTTTCATTTCAACCTGTTTCCGTAGCCATTTAGTCTCAGATAAACACATAGACATGTTAATTATTAAATTGTTGGCTGATGGCTAGAGCTTCTTACTGGCAAGCTCTGCTTTGATGACAAGTCTGCCAGACACGCTATGGCTAATGGGCTGGAGATGGATGCTCCATTGTTACAGAGGAACTTTGGGTGACTGTCTAGGCAGTGAGATGTTTCTTGTCAATTCTAGAGTTTGTATATTGTCCTTCTGTGGTCTTTGATGAAGTTGAAGACAGAT